AGTAAGAAGAAAAAAATGAAGAAAGGAAAGAGCAATCAGGTAAGCTATGCACCTCCAGGGTTCTTGCCTCTGGGTTCTTCCATTGCCTTACTGCCCTGACTTCCCTCAGTGACGAACTGTTAACTGGAACTGTAAAATGAAATAAATACATTCACCCCCAAGTTTCTTTTTGGTCGTGGTGTTTATCACAGCAGCAGAAAGCAAACTAGACCAGCTTGGCGATCCATTTCGACTCTTCTTTCTCCCAGATCGGATCTGCTGTGCTTAGTGGGAACTCTGCCAAGTGTCCCATCCTCAGCAACAAGTCTGCCCTTTGTTTCTTGTGCTCTTATTTCCTGGCATGTGCCCCACACTTAGCCACCTTCCATGTCCCAGGGAGCTTGCGGGACACTTCCCAGCACTCACACTCCACAGGTGGGAAGTCAGCAGGCCTGTCTTGCACAGTGGGCTCCTCTAGGACTTCTTTGTATTCATAGCCCTCCCTCCCCTCCCCAGATGACATCACTCTTAGCACAGTCTCTAAAGGAGATGAGCAAAGTCCAGATGTTTAGTCAGCTTCTAAGAGCAGTTGAAAATGAGCAAGCGGGATGTGATGGGAGGGGTGTGAAGCTACTATAAGAGTGGAATTAGCTTGTTTCTGTTACCTGTGTCTCAACAGCTTTCAGAGACTTTAGTACAAGTGTCAGGTTCTAGAAGATTCCTACATTGGGGATTGCTATTTACCTTTTGTGCTTAATTCTCTTTCTGGGAAGCTGTTAAGACCCTGCAATCAATGACCCTGAAGCAATCAATGACCCTGAAGCAGTAAGATAAATACGCTTCCTTTTTGGGTTTGCAAAACCTCAGATAGAGAACAGGACTGTCTGTAGCTGGTGGCATTGCTGCTGCTTCTGCTCTTTTTTTCTTGATGTAGTAATGGATGACCTAAGAAGACAGGAACCTATTAAGGGAAACCGCGAACACTTGGTTTTAGATCTTCTAGGTTGAACTTAGCAGTCACTGGCAATTTTATTTATATTTAATTTAATTTACTTATAGAATATTTAATTTAATTTATTTATAATGTCATTCTTTTGGTGCATAAGGTATTAATTGTTTGATATATAAATATACATTTAAGATATTTTCAAGACAGGGTTTCCCTGTATACAGCCCTGGATGTCTAGAAGCTTGCTCTATCGACCATGCTGGTCTCGAACTTACAAGGATCCACCTGTCTCTGCATCCTGAGAGCTGGGATTAAAGACGTGTGCCACCATGCCTTGCTGTACTTTCTACTTAATTTATGCGTTTGGACTTTTCCTCCTAGCTTTGTGAATTTGTCCCTATAAAGAAGGTGATACTTGGAAGAAAGTAGATGTTACTAGCCCTCACTCAAAGGCCAGGTTCACAGACAGCTTAAGCAAAAAGGGGTTGAACATTGGGTTACAGTTACTTATCTGAAAAAGAAAAGAAACTCTAAGGTGCAGAAAACCAAACCTTTCTTTTTGTTGTTTTTATTTTTAATTTTTGTGTGTGTGTGTGTGTGTTTCTAAGCATGAGCTAATGCTAGTGGGGGGCAGATGAGGGCATCTGAGTCATATGCCCTAGATCTGGAGTGACAGGTAGTTGTGAGCCACCCTACATGGATCCTGGGAACCAAACTAGTGTCCTCTGCAAGGACATTATAAACTTAATCACTGAATCATCTCTAACCACTGAAGCTTTCTTCATTTCCCTCTATAACTAATCTCAGAACAAATAGTCAGAACCAGTCATAGTGGGTTACACTGTGCTCAGCCAGATAGCTTCTAAATGTAAATTCTTAACCCTCTCAGAGATTCCAGAACCTCCTGAAATCTCATATCAGCTCCTTGTCTGCCTCAGCTTGGTCTTCTGCAAAACAGAAATCTCATAAAACCAGAGGACTTGACAGCGCACACACGATAATACCTCCTTTATTAAACGCTCCTGGAAAGGTCCATCTTGCTAATTGAGGAAGTTTATTGTCCTGTCATTAGAGCACCCAGCATTCTACTCCTGAAGGTTTCATCTCTTCAGGTGAAATTCCTCTCTCTGAGATTGCTATATCCTGAATGCCTGAAGCAAGTCTTCCGGAAGTAGCTTTACCCATGATGGAAGGTCTTGACTAAGTTTGACAGTCTTGCCTTACAAGCGATTGGTAGAACCTGTAGGAATTTCTTGTGTGAGAGACAGAGGTCTGTAGAACACCATTTTAGCAGCCCCTGCAAACAGTCTCTAGCAAATATACCACCAAGAGTTTTCCCCCCTTCTTTTAGAAATCTATCACAAAAGAAATAATAACCAGTTAGTTGAATGGTCTCATTCATTCAGGTTAAAGTCAGAGAAGGTCCTGATCTCAATGCCACTTTGTCGGAGCCCGTGTGGGTCCAACACAGATTCTCTAACTAGACTGGAACGGAGTCGCGAGGAATAATCAGACACAACTTACAAGGTCATCTTGGAAAAGGCCAGACTCCCCGTTTATTGTCCCAACATCTTATATATCCATCCCAAATGAGCGGGAACACACAAAGGCTGTTGCCTAGGCAACCAGGTGCCTGGACTTTTGTCACATCTGCATCTAGCAGCCAGGTAGGTCCTAAATTAGCATCTCTATAAGATAACCTTCAAAAACATCCTGACCAGTTTCAGTCAACACCTCTTCTCAGGTAAACCACACTTTAACGAAGGAAGCTAGGAGCAAGACATCCTGGCTTTTGTTAAGGGCAGACAGCTTGTCTGCAGAGCTATGTATCAGCTCAAACCGGGGCAATGGCTTTTGTGGCATATCAGAATATGCGCCCACACCACTTACCCACCAAAAGACCTGTAAGGCCTCCTATGAAACACAATGCCATTACGAAAGGTGGCTGTTCGGAAAGTTATTGTCTAAGCAGAGATGCAAAGCTTGAGATGTATGTGTGCTCACAGTGGGTTGGAATTTTATACAAACCCAATTATGTGGGTGTAATAGTATGCCTGCTGGGTGGAAATTTTTATGAATCGTTGAACACAGAGGGCTGGTGGGGTGGATGGCTCAGTGCACAATGGTTCCTGTCATCAAGCCTAATGGCATCGGTTCAATCACCAGATCCTGTTGATGGAAGGAGAGAATTGACTCCAACATGTTGTCTCTTGACCTCCATGCATGTGCAAACTCCCTCCCCATCACATGTACCCAAATCTAATGTGTAAATGTAATAACAATGAAAAGAAATCCTTTCAAAAAGCCGTGAACGTAGAAAATCAGTTCAGAGCAGAGTTCTCTAAGAGGCATGTTCTTGAAATAAGAAAAGGTTCAATTAACTTTTGAAAAAAAAAAAAAAACTTCTGTGGCTCTGGGTTGGGGAGTAGCTCTTTTAGTAATGTGTTTTGTTGTGGCACAATGGTCTTATATCCTGCGAAGTTTTGTCAGTTGTACTGGTTTAATAAAATGCTGATTGGCCAGTAGCCAGGTAGGAAATATAGATTGGGTGAGCGGAACAGAAGAATTCTGGGATGAGGAAAGGCTCAGTCTGCAGTTGTCACCCAGATGCAGAGGAAGCAAGAAGAGAATGCCTCACTGATAAAGGTACTAAGCCACATGGCTAACACAGACAAAAATTATGGTTTAATATAGGATATAAGAGATAATAAAAGGCCTGAGCTAGTAGGCCAACCAGTTTATGTATATAGAGCTCTATGTGTTTCTTTGGGACTGAATGCCTGAGGAACAGGTGGGATAGAAACCTCTGTCAACAAATGGTGCCAACATGGACAACTGCATCCACATAAAACTTGAGAGAGCTTGGAAAGGAATTCTAGACACAAAAGAACAGAGTTAAGTACGACTTCTTGGTAGCAACATTTTCTCAGGTGGGCTCTTTTTGCTGGAGGCAAGCGCGTCTCATTTAAGAGAGATTTCCTGACTAAGCTTTAGCTGACTGCAAAAACCTTGCAGCTCTTTCAAGAGGACCTATCAAGGAACACTTAAGTGTTGATGAATAGCCAACTGCATGCATTTTGGTGGTGGCAGGGACCTTGAAACTCCATAGAGTTGTGGCAATAAACATGGCTTTGGCTAGTACTTCTGCCATGAGGCTAGACTCTCAGATGGATCTGACTGCCTGGTCATCCAGCTTGAGGGGATTGACAAACACTAGATCCCAGTAAGAGATCTTGTGAAAGGCGTCTGAAATACAGCACAAGAGGTTGGCTTCTGGCCTCTCTATGCATATACCCAACCCATTCACACCAGCACCCAATGCACCACAGGTTCTAAGAGTTTATCAATGAGACCCTACAATGTCCACAAGGGACAAAATGGTTAAGACTGGAAATGTTGCTACAATGGACTATGGTGGTCCTTATCAATAGGGCAGTGACAGGGGACAGCACTCAGATTCCAAAGAGAAATTCACTGTCATAGAGAGCAGAGTCTGGCAGTGATCTGAACTCTATGAAGAAAAACCCAACTCAGAGTAAATGAACCAAACTTGGAGTATTTCAGCCTGATTTTCTAAGACTCTAAGGTACTGTACAGAAACTACCCATCATTCTTATTACAGTGAAGGGTTTAGACATCCCATGGCTTGGTCTCTGTACTAGTAAACTGATTATGGCTGACATGAATAATATATTTAGGAGGAACAAATAAGAGAGGTTGTCTCAGTCAGGGTTTCCATTGCTGCAACAAAACACCATGACCAAAAAGCAAGTTGGGAACAAAAGGGTTTATTCAGCTTATACTTCCACAGTGTGGCCAATCACCGAAGGAAGTCAGGGCAGAAACTAAAGCAGGGCAGGGATTTGGAGGCAATAACTGATGCAGAGGCCATGGAGGATGCTGCTTATTGGCTTGCTTCACACAGCTTGTTCAGCCTGTTTTCTTATAGAACCTAGGACTAACAGTCCAAGGAAGGCACCACCCCAAATGGGCTGGGCCTTCCTCTATTGATGACTAATGAGAAAATGCCTTACAGCTGGATCTCATGGATGCATTTCTTCCTCTCTGGTAGCTCTACTTGGGTCAAGCTACACAAACCCAGCCAGTTCAGAAGTGAAGAAGATGTTGTCACAGTTCAGAGAAGAAAAGAAAGGTTTTGGATGCAACAGTGATGGAGACTCAAGGAGCAGGAAGTGAACTTGTTATAACTTGGTAATTAATCAGCTCCTGGAGAGCAGTGGTTAATTTGTTTGCTATTTGTGTTATGACTATCATAAATGGCAAGGTTAGATTAAGTGGCCAATTATTATTCCCTTCTTGGTGCCACTTGTTTCAGTTGTTTGTTTCGAAAAAGAAAATTATGAAGATGGAGCCTCGACTAGCTTCGCTGGCTCTCAGAATGACTGTGGTTATCATTCTGAGTTTATTGAGTGGCATCATTCTTTTAATTTGCATTAAGTGGCTTTTGGCTATGCAAAGACCCAATTACATTAAAAGCTTGATACCAATTGGTATAGGAAAACAATTATCTGGAGATGGCTGTGACATTAAAAAGAACAAATGTCTGACTGAGAGTTTGCCAAAATTTCCATTGAGTTAATTCTGACTGCCAAAGAATGGGGGGGGGGGGGCAGTATAAAAAATAAGAAATATAGACAGACTTCGCCAAATGATATATCTGTAGATTAAAAGACTAGAGGACATCTGTCTTTGTTTTACTTTGTTTTTTAAACTACAACACTCAAAATTAAAAAAGAAAACTTAAACCAAGAGACACTTGTGCCATCCCTAACAATAATGTCTTGTATTACCATCTGTCTCCTTTTACTAGGCAGCACCCTACCAGTGACCATTGTTAGAACGGTGGGAACGTTACCAATGCTATCCTTAAAGAGATCCTGTTCGTGGTAGGGAATACATGGCAACACGTTTTATCCTCTCTTTCTATTTCATCCCGCATCATGTCTTATAGACGTTGATAACTCACTGCACGGCTTACCAGTTGGTTAAATGCTAGAATCGCGGCTGGCAAGAGTTGTGCTCACACGCTGAGACAGTAGACAGTAGCAACAAAAACCACAGGACAGAATTCTAGGAGCATGTCGAGGGGGCCCAGAGGGCAGATGCTAGCCAGGAAGATGGGAAGGCTTGGCAGCAAAGGCTTGATAGCCCACTTACTTGGTAGTCTGCTTTCACTGCTCTTAGGTTTCCAAGCTCATCACATTTGCCATGATAAACACCATGACCAAAAGGATTTATTTCACTTCTACTTCACATTACAGTGTATCATAAAGTAAGCCAAGACAGAAACTGAAGCAGGAACCACAGAGGAGCGCTCTTCACCGGCTTGTTCCTCCTGGCTTTCTCAGTCTGTTCTTATAGGACCCACAACCACCAGCCCAGGGGTAGCACTGCCTCATAGTAAGCTGAATCCTCCCACGCCAATCTTCAGTCAAGAAAATGCTTGACAGGCTTGCCCACAGGTCAGTCTGATGGGGGCATTTTCTCAGTTGAGGTTCTCTCTTACCAAATGACTCTAGCTTAGGTCATGCAGGCATAAAACTAACCAGCACATCAGGTGACCACTATGTGGTATGACGTTTAATGGCTTCTTTTTTATTTTACTGTCTTTATGGCTCTTGGTGTCTGGCATTGCCATCCAGTCTGCTTCATGGGCCTTCTTTATGAGGCTGGGTGAAAAGGCACTCCAGTTCTTGAATGTCCCTGACTGTTCTTGTCTTGAGTTCCACACTGGCTCCTTCTGTTAATTGTGGGCATTGTAGACATTGTCAATAGCTCTTGTCCCTCTGTTCCTCTTTGCTCTGCATTTTCTAGGTCTTGGATATGTGATACACGTCTAGGGCTTCACCAGGGATTATTATGAGGGAGACTGTGAAGTACATAGATATTTAGAGACATAAATACATACACGAATCTGGCCCCAGCTTTATCTATAGCTTTGTCTTTCACTCCCTGCTGCCTGCCTTCTGAAATGTCCTATGTGTGCTTCAAATTTAGTGCACTGAAAAATCCTCATTGACATCTCACCTGGAAACATGCCTCTGTTTGTTGCCAATGTTTCCAGAGAGACTATACTGAAGAGGGAAGACCCACTCTGAAAGCGGGTGACACTATTCCGTGGACCGGGAGCCTGTATTCTGGATGGCACACAAAGAGAAGAAAGGCGAATACACTGACCACCTGCATGCCTGTCTGCTTCCAGACTTTGGGTGCAATGTGACCAGCCGTCTTACATTCCTGTCTTCCCAGCTCTGTCGACTGCCCTCAAACTGTGAACCAAAATAAACCCTTTCTCACAACAGCAAGGAAGTAACCAATATACTTGATATTACTAAAACAATGTTCATCATTTTGTAGATAAATGGCTCATATTCGCCTCTGGACTGTAAGTCTTCGGGAGAGAGGACTGTTTTTGATCTCTGTACCTCTAAGCACTGCTGGTGGACAGGTACTTCCAGGCTTTGGCCTCTTTTCCAGGGAATTGAAAACAGGTCCACAGAGATATGGAAAGGAAGCAAGAGACAGTAAAAGTTTCTGAGGGATACACTGCCAAGATTGACAACAGACCATAGAATTATTAATTCAAGGGCTCCAATTATTGTTCCTGTTTAGGGACTCCTTTTGTGGGGTTCAAGTGAAGGAGGATTGGTTATGAAGTGGGTAGCCTGAATGGGTCTCTGTTTTGATTGATAGACTAGGTTATATGATCATTTTTCTATAGCATGTGCCCCTTCCCCTAATGTATTGAATTTTAATCACATGCATACCTAGTTGTACATAGGTACAAGATAGTCAGTGGGAGATTCCCCCTAAAATTTTGCACCTCCAAACCAGTTGAGGCCAGATCATCTCTTCTCCTTCTTCATGACTGGAACTTTTGGGAATATACTTGAATAGAAACCACCTAAGTTTGGCTGTTACCAGGAGTGAGGAAGCGTAGACTATTGTTCAGAGATAGTCATATGTGACTATATGCATGTAGTAGGTGAAGGGATTCTGAGACTGGTCAGTGCATTGTTTGGAGAAAGATGTGTGCACAGTGCATGCATGTGAAGGACCTAGGCTGGCAAGTGCAATGTAACCTCAAACTCAATGATGGTCCCAAGAAGACTGTCACTTTAGCTTGCCTGCCTCACAAGGGTTAGCAGTGTGTTTGCACATAGTAAGTGCTGAATAGGTGTTGAATTGCTTTTTCCTCCTGGCTTTTTGGCTTATTTTGACTTCTCTATTAAGAGTTTTAGTTTTGCTATGTTGCCAAGACTGGTGGTCTCAATTTCCTGGGTTCAAGCAGTTTTCCTACCTCAACTTCGCAAGTGCTGGACTTGCAGATGGTGCACTGTGTCCTCATTTTAAAATGGTCAGTGGAAAACTATTTATATGGTGTGTGTGTGTGTGTGTGTGTGTGTGTGTGTGTGCGCGCGTGCGTGCGCATCTGGAGGTCAGAGGACAAATTGGTTCTCACCTCTTATCACATGGATCATGGGGATCAAACTCAGGTCCTCAGGCTTGGGAAGAGTGCTTAATTGCTAGGCCATTTTGCTAGACTCCTCAGGCTTTTTGTTTTTGTTTTGTTTTAATGATGGTGAAACCATATCAATTTTATGTTCCTGACCCTAACCCTGACTTCTCTTCTTACTTCCATATTCATGTCTTTCCTTCCCAGTATCAAATGATGCTCAGTAGGCCTAGCATAGGTAGTTAAGTTCTCAGCAAGGATCTGGAATCTTTGACCTGCCATTCTCTACCTCAGGGCTCTGTCACTCATCCATCTGCCCACAGCACAAACATCAGAAGCATCTCTAATTTGTCTTCTTATTATATTCCACATTGTCTTAGTTAGGGTTTCTATTGCTTTGAAGAGACACCATGACCCATGGCAACTCGTAAAGGAAAACATTTGATTGGGGCTGGCTTACAGTTCAGAGGTTTAGTTCATGATCACCATGCCAGGGATTATGGCGGTGTGCAGGCAGACATAGAGCTGGAGAATAACCGAGAGTTCTGCATCTAGATTCACAGGCAGCAGGCGGAGGACGGACACTGGGCCTGGCTTGAGCATTTGAAACCCCTAAGCCCACCCTTAGTGAGACACTTTCTCCAACAAGGCCATATACTTTCCAAGAGGGGAACAACTCCTAATCCCCACTTCCTGCACTTGCCAGAGGGGCGCCTTGGCAGGGCTCTCATTGGCTCTTATGTCTGCTCTGAACACTCTTCTGGAAATGTCTATGGTCATTGTATTGTTTGCTTCCAACTCTTTGAAGTAGTCACTTCTGGAAAGAAGACTAATGGCCGACTTGATGAGATCCAGAGTCATCTGGGAGACCACCCCTGAGCATGCTGTGGGGATTATTTTGATGAGGCTTGCTGAGGACCCACCCACTGTGTCCTTATGGCACCATTCTCTTGAGTGGGATCCTGGATTGTATAAAAGGGGGCTCCTGTGCTGAGCACAAAAGTTCATTGCTCTCTGCGTCCTGACTATGGATGCAATGGAGACCAGCAGTCTCAAGCTTCTGCTCTCATGACTTTCCTGCTTTGACAGACTACTCTTGAACTGTAAGCCTTTGAACTGTGAGCCCAAAGGAACTCCTCCTCTGACTTGCTTTTCTGCAGGGATATTTTATCACGGCAATAGGAAATGTAACTAAGACACTGTTCAAACACATTCCCAAATGACTCCCTGCTCACCTCCCCTGATTTGTTTTCCCTTTACTGCACAAGCCTTAATATTTTTATGCATTTATCAATCATCTCTTCTCCTTAGTATATAAGCTCCCTGAGGATCAGGTTTTTGTACATCATGGTCTTCCCCCAGCCCCACACAATGGCAGCATCTGGAATAGTTCTAGACTATAGTAAATCTCCTTGAGTATTTGATGAGTGAATGAGTTCTTCTCAGTCCTGAAGGTGATGATTCATCCTTGGCTCCACAGTTGAGCCCCTTATGTGGAGTCACCAATCCCTTTGGAGTCAGCCTTGAGTTTATTCAATTAACATTTACTGAGTGCAAACTGCCTTACAGTGTGTTTATCATTGGCCTGCTTACTTCTCACAAGTCCTGTATCCAACCAGATAAGTGATACAGCATGAACTCTGTAAGCTCCAAGGCACCACACAGATGTCACTTGCTTCCCAGCACAGTGACACTAATTAATGTTGTTTCTACACCCAGTTCCAATGGGAGCTTCTAACTAATCTTCTGCTTCCAGATTCTCTCTAGATAATATATTCTGCACGCTGCTGCCCATTTAATCTTCTTAACGCATTGCTGTAATTATGTTCTTTTCATTTATAAAAACATTGATGGCCTTCCAATTTCTGACCAAATAGTCCACAATCTCCTTGGCTTGCATCAAAGAAACTCTTCCACCGCCTTCACTGTTCCCCATCAAAACCTTTGATTTTTCATCAAACACATGGCCCACTTGCCTTTCCCTGAGCATCCTTGACTTTCCCATTCTGTACTCCGTGCATGTTCCTTCTGTAATTGATGTCTCTTTCATTGCTTTATGTGCATGCAAGAGACATAAAGCTACCATCCTGGGATTTTTCCCACTTCTTTGTTTGAGACAGGATCTCTTGTATCAGAGGCTGATCTTGAACCCATGATCTTGTCTCCATCTCCTGGGCATTGGATTGCAAGTGTGAGCCACCATACTTGACTCTGGGATTTCCCATTTTCAGGTGATCTTTCTGAACTCACTGTTAAGGCATTTCCTTCCTACTGAGGGAATATTCTTTTTTTTCCCCCTTAGAACGTGAAGAAAAGAAAGAGGTGCAAATGACATGTTCGGTTGTCCCATCCCATCTTTCCCCATTCTGAGTTGGCGAGTGGGCCAAGTCTGGCATCTACTTTTCCAAGTGTCTCTGCTTGTTTATTCTCCATTCCCAATAAGCCACCTGGGTCTCTTTCTGGGAGCCCCTGGCCAGCAGTATATACTCACGGCTTCCACCTCCAAGTGTGATGGTTAGTTTTGATTTGTCATCGTGACAGAATCAAGAGTTACCTAGGAGATACACTTCTAACGGCATAGGTGAAAGAATTTCTAGATTAGTTCAGCCGAAGTGAGAATATCCACCCTAAATGTGGACAGCATCATTCCGTGAGCTGGTACCCAGACTGAATGGACATGAGAAAGCCAGCAGAGCCCCAGCTTTCCTGTGTCTGCCCCCTAGTGGTGCATGCCATAGGACCAGTTACTTTACTTTCCTGCCACCATGATTTCCGGTCATGCTCTCATCCAGTGTGGGCTGGATGAGAGGACTCCAGTACCACACCCTTTCTCTGTGCTTACTGTAGTACTTCCCACAGTCGGTAATTATTCCTATTTTGTTTATCCTTGCCTCCTTTCTACAACAAGAATGTAAGGTGTCTGAAGAGCCAGTCCTGGTTGCCTCCTTGTAGTAGTCCCAGAGTCTAACATTTGCTTGGTGTATAGCAAGTGCTTAGTAAATATCTGGAAATAAGTGAACAGCTATCCCAGTGAGAGTTTGCTGTTTGAAAGTATAAATTGGGAACCAAATGTCAGGGGCCATGCATTGGATGTGCGGATTGTTAATCTGAGAGAATTCTGCTGTGGGCTTACAGCACCCAGCTGTGGTATTTAGGAAATGGTGTTCTAACAGCATCACTCGTTTGGTGTAGGGTGTCTTGGAGGTTCATGAAAATCTTCTAATGTTGAGTGTCCTGATAGTTGCATGACTATGGGTATGCTATAAACCAATGAATTGCATACAAAGATGAGCTAAATCCTATGCAGATAATATAAGAAGAGAATGATAAAAACTAAAATAATAGGAATGTGAAATAAAAAAATTTCAGGAGATATCAGGTGGTGGTGGCACACGTTTTTAATCTTAGCACTCGGGAGGCAGAGACAGGTGGAGCTCTGTGAGCTCAAGTCCAGCCTGGTCTATGGAACAAGTTCCAGGAAGACTCCAAAGCTACAGAGAAACCCTGCCTCAAAAAAAAAAAAAAAAAAAAAAAAAAAAAAAAAAAAAACCTAGGAGACAAAAAAACGACTAAACAGTATCATTTCATTGATGCCTAATTTTAGTTGTCAAGTTGACAAAACTTGGATGAGGGAACCCCAAATTGAGAAATTGCCTTCATCAGATTGGACTGTAGGCACGTCTGTGAAAATATTTGCTTGACTGCAATTGATACGGGAAGGCTCAACCCACTGTGGTTGGTACCATCCGGAGGCAGGCGTATGCTATATAAGAAAGGTAGCTGAGTGTGACCCTGGGAGCAAACCCGTAAGTAGCATT